TGCAATATGCGTTTTTGCTGTCTGTTGCAGCGTTCTAGCGCTGCACGGCAAAAACGCATAAAAAGCACAACCAGTAAAGCTAAAAGAGAAAAGACGGCATATATTGCAGAGGCGAGTTTGTTGACCAGTCACGGTCGGAATGTATTACTTCGTCTGCTACATGGCATCTGAGGCTCTACGCTGGAACGATCTGCACAGTCCAGACTCGTCGAAAAAGATATGGGGAAATGAATGTCTGTAAACTTTAACTGTTCTCTTTGGGAATTACACATTCACATCTCGAAGCTAGTGATAAGAATGTGTCTGTGTTGAAGGCAGGGGCCTCCTGAGCAAGAACTTTTCGCATGGGTCAAGAACGAGGGCATCCACCGGTCCCAGTCAGCTGAGATTTTCGATTTCACACTGACAAGGCAGCATAATTGGAGAATCGCTGAACTTTTCATAAAAATCGGCTTTAATTGTAAATTTCTCGCAGGCGTACTGATGTTGGCCCTACTCTCAAATCAGCCTGTTCTGAAACAGCAGCAAGAATTCCTCGGCTCAAAATCATCGCAGAAAAAAACTCGCCTTCCTCCAGATCGTTCTAATTTTTGTGTTTAATGTGCCGGATGTGCAAAGTATCGAAATCTTCGTTAGTTTACTTTTTCATCTGCTTCGGAGGAGGAATTATCAACGGCCTTGTTAGCGTGTATTTGCTTTTAGCAGAGTGCTATCGTTCAACACGGAGAACATCCCCCTTAAAGATCTAGCATGCGAACCAAATTTTCACCTAAAGGAGGAATGTTCTCTTAAAGTGCTTCTTTAAGGCAGTTCTTCGAAACAACAAAAGTATCTTTGTATTCATTCTGAACTTCTTTTCACTCGCGATGTGCTAATGTTTAAAATGCAGCGATTCAATTGAAAGTCGTTTTTCTGGAGAATGAACTCCAGATAGTACTGGCTCATTTAGCAGCACACATCCGCAACAACTTAGGGTAGGATCAGACTAATGAATTTGTGTGCAAAATTATCCACTGCTTTCTGGAAAGAATTTTTGAATCGCTGCGCAATGCAGAATTCATATGTGATTTCGGGATGCGAGCTTTCCAATAGTAAGCAGGCGAGAGCACTGCTGATCACTGAGCCCTGCATCTCCAGCTTATTCTGCGTGCATGTTTGCTTCCTGCCAGAATCACTCTAGCTATTCACACATTCCCCAGCTGCACAAACACATGTCATTCATTAACTATTTGATAATATTAAGCACGGCGCTGCGCCTCTGGCACTCAGCGAGGAACTCTGCGAGCAGGCGCAATCATGGGCTGAGAAGCTGGCCAAGAAGGGACATATTGCATTCTGCGAGCAGCAAGGTAACGCAAACACGCATGCTTTTTTCATTTTGTTTCATACAACCGTCTGCGCAGTTACGAATGCACCAACCGCGCAAAAATTCCAGTGCTTCTTTTCTGACCACATGTGCTTCGTTGGAAGCAATCCGAAGACAGCCGGACTCGGTTACCTTTTTAATTCATGACTCGTTTTCCTGGGAAATAATTTCGTTGGCAAAGGGTACCGCTGGTAAGTTTTGGCAGAAGCATCACTGCTTGCACCAAGACCACGTGCATTCGCTCTTCCCAGGGAATGCTACTTGATCAGCGTTTTGTTTAAGAACTAGCATTTCTAAGACTCTGAGAAGAAAAAGCAACCAATTCAGATGGTGAGTATAAGTGAACCTATTCATTTATTAAGCATCACATTTATGCTACAACGCGTTTACGGGAAATGCCTACGGAAGGGCGAAGAATATGTAAATCTTAGCGTATTTTGTCGGCATTGACATGCATATGTCGGTGCGGTGACACTAAAACGAGCAGCAGCACTGGCTACCGAACTGCTGTATCCGTAGTAATATTGCTTAGTACATTAGCTTTTGATTCTACATTTGACGCGGTATACCCGGAAACATTCCCATAGCAAAGCAATTAAATTTTACTATGTCAGTGTAAAAGGGAGGCAGTTTTAGGAATCGGTGAAAACATAACATTTTTCCCGTT